GGGCCGCCCGGGCGCGGCGGGGCCGGGCGAGGAGCGGCCCTTCGCGTGCGGCAGCTGCGGGAGCCGCTTCAGCTGGAGGGAGAGCCTGGAGCTGCACCTGCGCCGGCACCGCGCCCACCCGTGCCCCGAGTGCGGCCGCGTGTTCCCGCACCGCGGGCACCTCTGGCTGCACCGCCGGGCGCACGCGGGCCGCCGCCCCTTCCCCTGCGCCCGCTGCGGCCGCGCCTTCGCCTCCCGGGCCAGCCTCTGCTCCCACCGCAGGACACGGCGGCACTGCCGGCCCCGCGGCACGGGCCCCCGCGGGGACGGGGACAGCGACAGGGACAGGGAACACCACGGGGACAGGGAAACCCGTGGGGACGGGGACAGGGAAACCCGCGGGGACGGGGACAGGGACAGGGACAGGGACAGGGACCGCGGCGGGGACAGCGACAGGGAAACCCGCGGGGATGGGGACAGGGACAGGGAAACCGGCGGGGACAGGGACAGGGAACACCACGGGGAAAGGGACAGGGACAGCGACAGGGACCCCCGCGGGGACAGGGGCCGCCCGGGCGCGGCGGGGCCGGGCGAGGAGCGGCCCTTCGCGTGCGGCAGCTGCGGGAGCCGCTTCAGCTGGAGGGAGAGCCTGGAGCTGCACCTGCGCCGGCACCGCGCCCACCCGTGCCCCGAGTGCGGCCGCGTGTTCCCGCACCGCGGGCACCTCTGGCTGCACCGCCGGGCGCACGCGGGCCGCCGCCCCTTCCCCTGCGCCCGCTGCGGCCGCGCCTTCGCCTCCCGGGCCAGCCTCTGCTCCCACCGCAGGACACGGCGGCACTGCCGGCCCCGCGGCACGGGCCCCCGCGGGGACGGGGACAGCGACAGGGACAGGGAACACCACGGGGACAGGGAAACCCGTGGGGACGGGGACAGGGAAACCCGCGGGGACGGGGACAGGGACAGGGACAGGGACAGGGAGCACCGCGGGGACAGCGACAGGGAAACCCGCGGGGATGGGGACAGGGACAGGGAAACCGGCGGGGACAGGGACAGGGAACACCACGGGGACAGGGACAGGGACAGCGACAGGGACCCCCGCGGGGACAGCGACAGGGAAACCCGCGGGGATGGGGACATCGACAGGGAACACCACGGGGACAGCGACAGGGACAGGGAAACCCACAGGGACAGGGAGCACCGCGGGGACAGCGACAGGGAAACCCGCGGGGATGGGGACATCGACAGGGAACACCACGGGGACAGCGACAGGGACAGGGAAACCCACGGGGACAGGGACAGGGAAACCGACGGGGACAGGGACAAGGACAGCGACAGGGGACACCGCGGGGACAGCGACAGGGACAGGGACAGGGAAACCCGCGGGGACGGGGACAGGGACAGGGACAGCGACAGGGACAGGGAAACCCACAGGGACAGGGAGCACCGCGGGGACGGGGACAGGGACAGCGACAGGGACAGGGAAACCCACGGGGACAGGGACAGGGAAACCGACGGGGACAGGGACAAGGACAGCGACAGGGGACACCGCGGGGACAGCGACAGGGACAGGGACAGGGAAACCCGCGGGGACGGGGACAGCGACAGGGACAGGGAAACCCTCGGAGACAGCGACAGGGAAACCGGCGGGGAGAGGGACAGGGAACACCATGGGGACAGCGCCAAGGAACCCCGTGAGGACAGAGACAGGCAGCCCCGCAGGGACAGGGACAGGGAACCCCGTGGGGACAGGGACCCCCGTGGGGACCCCCGTGGAGACGGAGAGACTCGCAGGGACAGGGATAGTGACAGAGACCCCCATGGGGATGGGGACAGGGACCCCCGCGGGCACAGGGATCCCCGCAGGGATCGGGACAGCGACAGGAACCCACTCAGGGACAGGGATAGGGACCCGCTCAGGGATAGGGATGGGGATGGGGACAGGGACCCCCGTGGGCATGGGGACTCGCTCAGGGACAGGGACAGGGCCCCCCTGGAGCCCAGGGACCTGCTCAGGGCTCGGGAGCCCCTCGGGCACAGGGAGCTGCCGGCGGGTGGCCGGCGGTAGCCGCGGGAGCGGGGTCGTCCCGGTGCTCCTGGATGTGACCTCGCCGGTGCCGCGGCCACCCCGGGGCACCCCCGGGGCCACCCGGAGGCTTCTGGAACCCGGGGGCTTCTCGGTGTCCCTTTAGAGCTTGGGAAATCCCTCCGGGACGTGTCTCCGTGCTCCCTTTGGACCTTGAAGTATCCGGGATGTTTCCCCATGTGCCCCTGACCTTGGGAATCCCCTCTGGGACGTTGCTCCATGTGCCTTTGGCACCTCAAAAGTCTCCAGGACACTTCCCGTGTCCCGCTGGACCTCGAAATGTCCTCCAGTGCTTCCCAGTTCTCCCAGACCCTTGGAAATCCCCCGGGGAGGGTTCTCTGTGTCCCCTGGGGCCTCGAAGTACCTTCGCACCTTGGAAAATCCCTCTGGGATGGTTCTCCGTGTTCTCTTCAGATTCTGAAGTACCTTTGGATCCTGGAATGTCCCTCAGGGGCATTTCCCACTCCCGCCAGTGCCCTGCCCCCTGTTCGTATTTAAAGCCAGAAGTTTCTTTAGGTCTATTTATTTTATTTTTTTTTCTATGTAATTTTTTATTCTTTCTGTTTTATTTTTATTCTATTTAAGTTATTCCGGTTGTTATCTGCTGCTTAGTCCAGCTCTCCTACTCCATTACGTTCTTCCTATTCCATTTAATTCTATTTATTTCTATTCTATTTATTCCCTTTTATTAGGAGGAAGGACAGGGAGGGAGGAAGAGGAAGGAAGGGAGGGAGGGAGGAGGCTCCTCTGGGCTCTTTGTCGTGGTTGAACCATGACTGGGCTCTTGTGACAGCAGGAGCCACCACGCGTCCCCCCGCTGTCCCCCTCCCCCAAATAAACAATCGCCAAAAATCTGAGTTAACGTAGAAATGAGTAAAAATTGCAAATGTGGCGGGGGGGAGGATCCACAGCCTGGGGGGCTCCTGCAGCCCCCGAGCTGCTCCCAGTCCGTGCGGGGAGCCCCCCGCCCCAGCACGGGCCGGAGCGCTGGGAATGTCCCCGCCGGGTGTCACCGAGCAGGGGACAGATGGTGGCGTTCCCACGGGAATGGGGACGGGCCCCCCACGCGCCCACGGAGCTGCGGGGGCCGGGATGCGCCGGGGAAACCGGGACGGGAACCCCCGGTGCCCCCGGTGCCGCCTGTCCCCAGGGCCACCACCGGCCGTGTCCCCAAGTGCCACAGCTCTGTCCGGGAGGAATATTCCCGCAGACGTTCCCAAAATCCTACCTGGTGCCGCCCCCGCTGCTGCCAGCGTCCCCGGCCCTCGGCGGTGTCACCCTGTCACCTCCCTGCCGCCCCCGCTGTGACAGCGCCGCGGCCCCGGTGCCTTTTTTTGGGGCCGTCCCGGTTCCACGTGCCGGGAGCACACGTGGAGGAGCCGCTGGAACGGGACACGGAGCGGGAGGCGCCGGGCCCGGCCCTGTGTGCCCGGGACTCAAATAACCGGGAAAACGCCCCAATTTCCCCGGCCCCTTCCTTCCCTTTCAGAGAAGATCGCGAGGCCGGGAGCCGTTCTCCCAATTAAATTCCTGAAATTAGAGCGGAGCCCGGAGCGCGGGGGGGCTGGGACGCCGAGGTGCCCTCAAGGACGTGAGTTTGTGGGGCTGGGTCTCCTTAGGGCCAAAAATGTGGAATTCTATTCCTGGAGCTGGATCTCAGTGCCTAAAGAGATGGGAATGCCACTCCTGGAGCTGGGGCTGGATCTCCCTAGTGCCAAAAATATGGAATGCCACTCCTGGAGCTGGGGCTGCATCTCATTAGGGCCAAAAATATGGGAATGCCACTCCTGGAGCTGGGGCTGCATCTCTTTAGTGCCAAAAATAAGGAATGCCACTCCTGGAGCTGGGGCTGGGTCTCCTTAGGGCCAAAAATACGCTGGGGCTGGGTCTCCCTAGTGCCAAAAATATGGAATGCCACTCCTGGAGCTGGGGCTGGATCTGCTTAGGGTCAAAAACATGGAATTCCACTCCTGGAGCTGGAGCTGGATCTCTTTAGTGCCAAAAGAGATGGAATTCCATTCCTGGAGCTGGGGCTGGATCTCCTTAGGGCCAAAAATGTGGAATTCTATTCCTGGAGCTGGATCTCAGTGCCTAAAGAGATGGGAATGCCACTCCTGGAGCTGGGGCTGGATCTCATTAGTGCCAAAAATAAGGAATGCCACTCCTGGAGCTGGGGCTGGGTCTCCTTAGGGCCAAAGAGATGGAATGGGGCCCCCCTGGAGCCCAGGGACCTGCTCAGGGCTCGGGAGCCCCTCGGGCACAGGGAGCTGCCGGCGGGTGGCCGGCGGTAGCCGCGGGAGCGGGGTCGTCCCGGTGCTCCTGGATGTGACCTCGCCGGTGCCGCGGCCACCCCGGGGCACCCCCGGGGCCACCCGGAGGCTTCTGGAACCCGGGGGCTTCTCGGTGTCCCTTTAGAGCTTGGGAAATCCCTCCGGGACGTGTCTCCGTGCTCCCTTTGGACCTTGAAGTATCCGGGATGTTTCCCCATGTGCCCCTGACCTTGGGAATCCCCTCTGGGACGTTGCTCCATGTGCCTTTGGCACCTCAAAAGTCTCCAGGACACTTCCCGTGTCCCGCTGGACCTCGAAATGTCCTCCAGTGCTTCCCAGTTCTCCCAGACCCTTGGAAATCCCCCGGGGAGGGTTCTCTGTGTCCCCTGGGGCCTCGAAGTACCTTCGCACCTTGGAAAATCCCTCTGGGATGGTTCTCCGTGTTCTCTTCAGATTCTGAAGTACCTTTGGATCCTGGAATGTCCCTCAGGGGCATTTCCCACTCCCGCCAGTGCCCTGCCCCCTGTTCGTATTTAAAGCCAGAAGTTTCTTTAGGTCTATTTATTTTATTTTTTTTTCTATGTAATTTTTTATTCTTTCTGTTTTATTTTTATTCTATTTAAGTTATTCCGGTTGTTATCTGCTGCTTAGTCCAGCTCTCCTACTCCATTACGTTCTTCCTATTCCATTTAATTCTATTTATTTCTATTCTATTTATTCCCTTTTATTAGGAGGAAGGACAGGGAGGGAGGAAGAGGAAGGAAGGGAGGGAGGGAGGAGGCTCCTCTGGGCTCTTTGTCGTGGTTGAACCATGACTGGGCTCTTGTGACAGCAGGAGCCACCACGCGTCCCCCCGCTGTCCCCCTCCCCCAAATAAACAATCGCCAAAAATCTGAGTTAACGTAGAAATGAGTAAAAATTGCAAATGTGGCGGGGGGGAGGATCCACAGCCTGGGGGGCTCCTGCAGCCCCCGAGCTGCTCCCAGTCCGTGCGGGGAGCCCCCCGCCCCAGCACGGGCCGGAGCGCTGGGAATGTCCCCGCCGGGTGTCACCGAGCAGGGGACAGATGGTGGCGTTCCCACGGGAATGGGGACGGGCCCCCCACGCGCCCACGGAGCTGCGGGGGCCGGGATGCGCCGGGGAAACCGGGACGGGAACCCCCGGTGCCCCCGGTGCCGCCTGTCCCCAGGGCCACCACCGGCCGTGTCCCCAAGTGCCACAGCTCTGTCCGGGAGGAATATTCCCGCAGACGTTCCCAAAATCCTACCTGGTGCCGCCCCCGCTGCTGCCAGCGTCCCCGGCCCGGCGGTGTCACCCTGTCACCTCCCTGCCGCCCCCGCTGTGACAGCGCCGCGGCCCCGGTGCCTTTTTTTGGGGCCGTCCCGGTTCCACGTGCCGGGAGCACACGTGGAGGAGCCGCTGGAACGGGACACGGAGCGGGAGGCGCCGGGCCCGGCCCTGTGTGCCCGGGACTCAAATAACCGGGAAAACGCCCCAATTTCCCCGGCCCCTTCCTTCCCTTTCAGAGAAGATCGCGAGGCCGGGAGCCGTTCTCCCAATTAAATTCCTGAAATTAGAGCGGAGCCCGGAGCGCGGGGGGGCTGGGACGCCGAGGTGCCCTCAAGGACGTGAGTTTGTGGGGCTGGGTCTCCTTAGGGCCAAAAATGTGGAATTCTATTCCTGGAGCTGGATCTCAGTGCCTAAAGAGATGGGAATGCCACTCCTGGAGCTGGGGCTGGATCTCCCTAGTGCCAAAAACATGGAATGCCACTCCTGGAGCTGGGGCTGGATCTCCTTAGGGCCAAAAATGTGGAATTCTATTCCTGGAGCTGGATCTCAGTGCCTAAAGAGATGGGAATGCCACTCCTGGAGCTGGGGCTGGATCTCCCTAGTGCCAAAAATATGGAATGCCACTCCTGGAGCTGGGGCTGCATCTCATTAGGGCCAAAAATATGGGAATGCCACTCCTGGAGCTGGGGCTGCATCTCTTTAGTGCCAAAAATAAGGAATGCCACTCCTGGAGCTGGGGCTGGGTCTCCTTAGGGCCAAAAATACGGGAATTCCACTCCTGGAGTTGGGGCTGGGTCTCCTTAGGGCCAAAAATATGGGAATTCCACTCCTGGAGCTGGGGCTGGATCTCCCTAGCGCCAAAAGAGATGGAATTCCACTCCTGGAGCAGGGGCTGGATCTCCCTAGCGCCAAAAGAGATGGAATTCCACTCCTGGAGCTGGGGCTGGATCTCCTTAGTGCCAGAGAGATGGAATTCCATTCCTGGAGCTGGGGCTGGGTCTCCTTAGTGCCAGAGAGATGGAATTCCATTCCTGGAGCTGGATCTCAGTGCCTAAAGACATGGGATTCCACTCCTGGAGCTGGGGCTGGGTCTCCCTAGTGCCAAAAATATGGAATGCCACTCCTGGAGCTGGGGCTGGATCTGCTTAGGGTCAAAAACATGGAATTCCACTCCTGGAGCTGGAGCTGGATCTCTTTAGTGCCAAAAGAGATGGAATTCCATTCCTGGAGCTGGGGCTGGATCTCCTTAGGGCCAAAAATGTGGAATTCTATTCCTGGAGCTGGATCTCAGTGCCTAAAGAGATGGGAATGCCACTCCTGGAGCTGGGGCTGGATCTCCTTAGTGCCAAAAATATGGAATGCCACTCCTGGAGCTGGGGCTGGATCTCCCTAGTGCCAAAAATATGGGAATGCCACTCCTGGAGCTGAGCCCCGCAGGGAGGGAGAGGCTGGGCTGGCTCCTGCTGGGACCCGCGGGGCTCTGGCAGCCGGGGACCCCCGGGCCGCCCCAGGGTGGGAGCAGGTCCCAAGGACATTCCCTCCTTTT